CAACTCAAGTGCACATACACATACACATACACACACACAACCATGCGCCCCCCATGCGCGCCCCGTCCCCCACCCAACCGCCCCACCCCAGGGCCTGGCCTACTACGCCGACTGGGGCACCCTCCGCGGCACCGCCAACGTGGCCTTCATCGCCACCCTCATGGCCAAGTACGGCCAGAACAAGGAGGCACACGCCTGCTGGGCCCGCAGCCAGCTGCAGTACATGCTCGGCACCAGCGACAAGAACGACATATCTTATGTCATCGGCTACGGCGCGAACCAGGGCGCGACGCGCCCGCACCACCGCGGCGCTGCGTGCGCGCGCGAGTACGCGGGGCCGACCAAGATGTGGAACAACGGCACCTGCTCTGCCGGCGAGAAGGACGCGACCGCCAGCCCCTGCTGTGACGTGGACAACTTCCTCGCTGACAAGGACAGCCCCATCATGCTCAAGGGCGCGCTGGTGGGCGGACCCGACCAGAACGATGACTACCCCAACATCCGCAATGACTACAAGCGCTCAGAGGTGGGCGCGGGGGTGGGGTGATGAGAGGGGGGTGCTGCGGGGGCCCCGGCTGGCCGTGAACGCGAGCGCTGGGTGAGCAGGAGGGGGAAGGGTGGGAAGGAGGCTGCTGGCACAGGCGGCGGAGCAAGGGCGCCTGCTAAACTGCGTGCCTGGGCACGGCCCCGAGGCCCTCAGCCCCTCCCCTCCTCCACACACTAACCCAGCTGATTGGCCCTGACCCTCCGCAAAACCAACCCGACGCCCACCCCTACGGAATGTCCGCCCCCCTCCCCAAAATGCCAACATTACATCACATGACATCCCGCCAGCAGCGACGGCAATAACCTTTCAAAAAAGGGAAACGCCGCCTCTCCTAGGAGCATCGCCCTCCTAAACACACCAACACCCTCCAAAACCCAAACGGCCTCTTGCAGACCCCTCCACCTTGCTCAAACCCCCATCCTCAACAAACCCCCCTAAACCCCGCCCCCAGGTCGCCCTGGACTACCAGGCCGGCTTCACCGGTGCTGCCGCCGGCCTGGCGTCGTTCCAGCGCGCAGGGGTGCTGTCCAAGTGCAGCTCCGCGGCCGCCATGGTGAAGTGCAACAAGGTCAAAGACTACAGCTTCTGCGGCGGAATCGGGGACATGTGAGCGCGAGGGGTTGGGTGTGGGGTGTTGGGTGCGTATGGGGGTGGGGGTGGGGACCACCCCGTGGGGGTTATGGGCCAGCGACATGCACGGCCTGGCGTTTGCTGACTTGCGAGGCCGCTGGAGGGAAAAAGTGACGAGATCCACGGGGCCTGGGGGGGGGTGCGTCCCATGAAACACAGAGCACTTTTTGAGGGCACTGCGGCCACTGGCAGGGCTCCGCAGGGCCTGCCCCCTTGTGCCTCGCTGGCGATCGCCGCCGTTTCCCCACCTCACCCGACTGCCGCGGCCGCCGGTCCCGCAGGTGCCCCGCCGAGATGGGCGGCAAGTGCGGCGACAAGCCGTGGGCCGGGTACTGCTGCGCGGCCGGTCAGATGTGTGTCCGCAAGAACCAGTACGCCTGGATGTGAGTGGCGAGGGGAGGGGGGGGGCGTGACATGAGGGGGCGGCAAGAGTGAACTGGGATGTACGTTGGGGGCCGCTGCTGGCGTTTGAGGGGTGATTTGGAGGATTTGAGGGAGCCCCGGTGGGGGTTGAGGGGGGGTCTAGGCAAAGGAGGGGGGCTGGCTCGGAGATGGAGCTCGGCAGCTGGGCCGCAGTGCATGTGCCCTGACCTGCAAAGTCCTGCTAGGTGCCTGGGCCGCCAGGGCACGGCTGGTCTGTGGCCGAGCGCCCCGGCCCTTGACCACGTGCAGCGGCCCACTGACGACCTCATCCTCGCCCACCCGCGCGTGCCTCACTTCCCAGGTGCGTCGGCGCTGTGCCCCAGTGAGCGCCGCCGCCGCTGCCGCCGCTGCCGCCGCCGCCGCCGCGGCCCGGCACGCCGTTTGGCCTTCTGGCTGGTCCCTGGCGTTCAATCTCAGGGCCGGCTGCGACGGCCAGGATCAGGCAAGGCCCGCCTTGACAGCCGCACCGCCCAGGGCGGCCAAGGCACCCCGCGGACGCCAGGAGCGCCGCGGGAGCTTTGGGCTGCATTGCGCGGTGCCTGTGTGCCTGCAGGCGGGACGCTCGTGTGCGGACACGGCCGCCGGTGTGCTGCAACAGCACGCCAAGGGCTTGCTGGGAGCGTGAGGGCGCTGAAAAAACGCACCCTGCAGGAGACCGGATGCCCCGTTGAGACACACGGCGGCACCCCAGCCGCGCGCATGCAGCGGCCGCCGGGCGAAAGAAGGGTCCCAGGAGACACTTTGGCGCAAGAGAGAGCACGCGAGACAGAGACAGAACAACCACCGCGTTCCAATTTTGAGGGCGGCTGTAGCCAGCACCCACGTCACCCCGTTCCCCGCATGTTTGGCCGCTGGTTGCGCCGACACTCGGTCGCTGTTTTGGTGCTGCATCCCACGTGTGGTGTAGATCAAATAGCAAGCGCACCCTAGCCCGCGCTTTGGTCCTTGATTTGCCCACCCCATAGCTCATGTTGTTGCTTCCTATGTGCGGTGCAGCGCTGCCCGCCGCATCATTCATTGCAGGCTCAAGCAATTTCTTCCCTGTCCAGCCCCACCGACCATGCAGCACCCTCAGGCGGCCGGCCACCCCCTGTGGCCGCCGCCGGCCGGCGCCGGTGAGGGAAATACTAGAGCTGGGAACGAGCGATAGCGCCAACGTGCCCGCGAGTGCCCTCCCACGCATGCGGCCCGCAGCCAAGTGTAATACAGCTTACACCTCCCACACGTCGTTTCACTGTGGGAAGCAGAGAGTAGCCATTGCAGCCGTCAGGCCGGCAGGTCTGAGCAGGCGCAGGGGCCGGCGCCGCAGGCTGCCTGGCACGGTGGCAGAAAGCATTGCCACAATGCAGGCATAGCGTGGCAAAACAATGTGGCCCTTGAGCGAGTGCGCGCCACTGCGGACGCGGAGCAGAGGCGGCTAGTCATATCCAGGGATGAGTGGCTCTATGCACAGAGCCTGCGGCGGAAGGCACGCACAGGACTGTGAGCCATGTAGCAGCATCCTCATAGGTGCCCATCCTATGAACGCAGGCATGGGCGCCACGCGGTCAGCTGCAACAAGCGACGCTGCTGCGTTGAACCCATGCTTGGCGGGCAGCTGTAGGGGCAGGCTCAGCAGACGTTGGGCGCGTTCGATTGTTAGTAGAAGAGGCAGCTAGTCTCTGAGTCCGCTTCCGGGTGACCTGCGGTTTTGAGGGTGCGGGGGCCATGACTGTGCTGACGCCTCACCAAGCTTGAGCACTGACGGATAGGCTGCGGCACATCCATTTGTCGGCTACCCGCGATTTTGTGGTGCTGCGGTTGGAGCAGGTACCAACAGCACAGCTGCATTCTGCTCGTCTCAACTCACCCTGCTCGCGGCCCCATGCATCACCGCAGCTGTGCATCACCCTGCATGTGCCTGCCGCGGTCGGTCGCCACCTGTCACGCGGCCGCACGCAGGCAGCCTGTAGTGCGCCCTCTTCAAGGCTCGTGCACCCTCTCTCTCCCTATGCGCTGCGGCGCTGGCTAAGCCCCAGCAAATAATGCATGCCCCGCCTACTCATGCGCGGGTGGATTGGGAGTACTGCTACCCCAGCAGTGGTGGCCTCTTGTCAACCCTGCACCTCAACCACCCACACGCTGCTTCCAAGCTCCCACAGCTGTACGGCAATGCCAGCACATCAATTTACACATCAGTCCGATGGCCGTCACATCCCTTGCCCGGCAAGCGCTCTGAGAGCGGGGGGCAACGCAAGAACTTCCTCGCAGACCCTTGCAACGGCAACACCGCACGCGGGCCGCATCCCGCTGGCCCCTGCATGTGCCCCTGTACACTGTCCACAAGCCCCGTTTCACAAGTATCGCCAAACCATCCCGCCCAACCAACCCCAGGCCTTAATATAATAATAGCAGGCCCACAGCACACGAAGGGTGGCCCCCGGGCCAGGCGGCGGCGGGGCTGGCGCTCGTAGCTGCCGCTGAAAGAATTAACAGAGCGCAGGCGCCGTGGCGCAGAGGGCGCGCCGCAGCGCCCGCGTTCGAACAAGCGGTTGACGGTGAGCACCTGACTGATGCTACACACTACTTATGTGCGGCGTGGGAAAACCAGAGGCGCAGCCCCGTCTTTGCACCGGGCGAGCGGCTGGGGGCCCTGGGCTGACACCCGCATGTGGTCAGCGGAGTGGTGGTCAGAAGAGGCCCCCCCCGTTAGCGCGGCGCCGCCTCCGGCAATCTCAAGAGGCGGTTCCCATCATGTTTCGGTGAAAAGAGGCGGTAAAGCAAACCCGGTGCGGCACTCTGTGTGCGCATGAATTGCATATGCTGATTCGGGCGTGGAGCAAGTACGGAAAAAGAATGTTGGATGGCGCACCGGGGCGTGAGCGATGGGGCGCCCTCTCGAGCACGCGGACGCCGCGCCCAGGCGGCAAGGCAGTAGTAGTGGTGGTAGTTTAGCACGGTACATAATGAGCTGATATGTGATAATGCTGGTTATGATGATAAATGCATGTGATGGCAAGGGATGAATGTGACAGCGTCGTCCACGAGTGCAACAAGGTGGGGGCACCCAGCGCTTGCCGGGCACAGCTTGCGCCGTGTTTCAGAGCGATCGCGGCGAGCGAGGCGCGCCGCAAAAAGCTGGCAGCGCCCAGAAGCCGTGGTGCGCAGGCAAAAGCGGCGGTGGGGCAAACGCGTGAGGCTGTGCGCGCACGAAGGGCTGCACCAGCAGCTGCAAGGCGAGTTCCCATTGAACGGCGGTCGACCGCAGCGCCGAATGCGCCGAGCAGCCTCCAGCGAAGGGTGCACTCAGGGAGCCGCGGCATGGCGTGCAAGGAGGCCCCGCTCGGCGCTCAACAGGGTGGCGCGCAGCGCTTCGCCTCGGGGTGCTGTCTCAGAGGCACCCCCCTCCGCCCGCCGGGCCCGGGCCAGTGTGCGGGCCAGACGGGCGGCGCCGCGCGCGGGGCGCGGGCGAGGCGCGCGAGGGGCACCTGAGGGCGCGTTGCAATGAGACGTGATGGGCGACGCCGTCGCAGCGCGGGGCAACCACGGCTTGTGCTGGTCACGTGGCCTCCTGTGGCGCGCCGCCGACGCTGCTGACGCCGATGGCGCTGCCCTTGAGCGCCGAGGACATTGCACAGCTTGCGCAGTGGTTGTAATTGCTTTGGGGCTTAGGTTCACACACGTGCTCCCCTCTCGAAGCCGCCCCACCCGGCCCAGATGATGGGATCGTCGAGGCGCTGCCGGCCCGCGTCAAATCCGCAGATGTGCACCGCCTGCCGGCTTCGTCCGCCACATGCACCGCATGGAGGTTGAATCTATTGGACAGTCATCCTTTTAGCACCACACCTCTGACGAATAAAGAGCGTGGCAACGTCGGCTTCCGGATCCTTGGCCGAGCGCCTGGAACGGGGCTGCGCCCCCCTTGGGGGGCACATATCGAATTCGACAACACAGTGCCAATGTGTGACGTTGAAGATGTCCGAGTGTGCGGTGCCCTGAATCCAATGTGTCGAGTGACAGCGCACGGATGACATTGAAAACATAATCTTGGCCGGGCAATGAGGCCCCTCTCTTGTGAAGCAGGACGCCTAAATCTTCGCCGTGCCTTTGCATCATTTTGGCTGCTTGCTGACAGACGCGATTATTCGAGGTGCTGCGCGTGGCCTTGGTCAACACTAGGTCGCCGGTCTACAGGCCCGAACCACATAGCAGCAGGGTTATCCTCTGTAGCGAGAGTAATGCGCAGGGATGTAGAGCCCACCATCTGTGCCCAAGTTGATGCTCATGCAGGGGTCTTGCTGACACTGGCGGCGGCCTGAATGCGACATGGCCATCCCCTTGCGTCCCATGGTTACCAGCCACCCACGTGCACGGCATTGCGCGCATGCGTCTGTACGTAAACGAAGAAAACCAGTGTCCAAAACACGAGCAATTCTCAAATAGCACGATTCTGCAATGGCTCTGGCCGGTCGACGCGCTGCTACTGCTGCGCCGCAGCTGCGCACTGTGATGCGCGGCGCCACCGCTGTGGCGTCAGCGGCGCCCCTGCCTGCCCTGTACCTACGCTGGTTGTGCCATGAATGGCGCAAGGGCTGAAGACGAAAGATCGAGCTGCGGGGTCCGCCACAGCACGCAAAGACGGAGCTGGCCACATCTTGGAGGGAGCGCGCGCCAACGCGCAGCGGGCCCGGCCCGGCATAATGAGGCGGCCGGGGGTGCGGCTCCGCGTGTCGCGCCGGCGGCGCGGGGCCCGAGGCGCAGGCGAACACGGACGCGCTGGCCCCTGACATGCGGATCGCACGTCCAGCAGCGCCGAAAGTGTGCTGCGAAGGGGCCGGGTTGCAGAGGCCGCGAAGAGGGGTGCTGCCAACAAAGCAGAAGGTTTTCGGGAAGTGTTTGTGTATGTGTGTGTGCGTGTGTATGTTTCTCGTCCTAAACTGTGAGCGCAAGCCGCCCAGCCTCGTGGCGGTGCATTGCGCCCGGCAGCGGGGGCGGGGGGCCGCTGGTCCTGATGGAGGGGCCCCCGACCTGTGGGCCCGCACCGCCTGGGGCTTAAGAAGGAATAAGAGGGACCCTGCCTGAAGAGGGGGTCTGCACGGCTAGACAAGGGCAGCTACAAAGGGCCTGCCTCTACCATGCTGGCCGCGCGTGGTCCTGTCGTTCTGGGGGGCCTCGGGGACATTCCAGTATCCCGGCGCCGCAAGGGAGGGCCGGGCGCGTCAAACACGAACGCCGAGTAACGAGTCAAACAGATGCCGGGTCACGACCACATCAGACCGGGCCGTCGATGATGCTATGTGCTGGGCTATGAAGCGCCCGTCGGCAGCCGCCCTCCACCACGCCCGCCTGTGTACCACATCTAAAGACTCACGGACGCGGCGGGACCCAATGCCCGCGCCCGTGCATTGGCTCGGCGGTCGCCGGTCGAGGCGGCCGCCTCAGCTGCTGCTGCTGCTGCTGCTGCTGCTCCGCGCCTGCCCCCGCGGCCGCGCGGTGCTGGCTGAAAAACGTCGGCATCTGAAAGGCGGTGTTGATAGCGGCTTCCAGGTCCGCCTGCTGCTGCAGCAGCAACTGCTGCTGGTGCTGGGGCCCAGGAGCCTCGGCCTGAGCGGACTGGAGCCTGCCGAGCACGCTCTGCATGTGGTCCGCGCGCTCGGCGCAGGCGTCGAGGCATATGCTGCCGTGCCGCGTCATGCCCGCCGGCGGGTGCGGCTGGCTGCCGCCGGTGCCGCCAGGGGCGGCCTGCCAAGGGGCGGGCGCCGCCTGGGCGC